AGTAATAGAAATGTGTAAGTGTGTTATGTGTAAGCCAGGTTAAAGAGATGGGTCTTTAATTTAGATTTAAACTGACAGAGTGTGTCTGCCTCCCGAACAGTGCTAGGTAGATTATTCCAGAGTTTGGGCGCTAAATAGGAAAAGGATCTGCCGCCTGCAGTTGATTTTAATATTCTAGGTATTATCAAATGCCCAGAGTTTTGAGATCGCAGCGGACGTGAAGGATTATAATGCGATATAAGCTCGCTCAAGTACTGAGGAGCTAAACCATTTAGGGCTTTATAAGTAATTAGCAAGATTTTAAAATATATATATAATGTTAAATATGGAGCCAGTGCAGAGTTGACAGAACCAGGCTAATATGGTTGTACTTCCTGGTTCTAGTAAGAACTCTAGCTGCTGCATTTTGGACCAGCTGGAGTTTGTTTATTAAGTGCACAGAGCAACCACCCAATAAATCATTACATGATGACGAGGAATTAACAGAGCAGCCATTAAGTGTTAGACAGTGTAAAATAACTAGGTACTAACCCTGAAACCTAACCTTAAGCCATGTAGTTGCCTTATATTAGCCAGTAATTTGTAGGTAAGTACACGTACGGTAAAATAAAGTGCAGCTGATATTTCTGCCTGCTTTAGAGTAGTTTTGTTGTATAAATTATTGTATTTAGGTTTATTCAGGTATATTAAGTAGATATTATATATAAATAATAAATAAGTATAAGTATTTATAGATAAGTATAAAACCAGTTAATTCAGATGTTACCATTTAGGTTACCATTTATTCAGTGAATGGTTTGTTATTTTTTAATCTAAATGGTATGAGTACATATCACACTAGCTTTGAATATGTTATTGCTCAGGCAATTTAACTGAGTTTGCAGTGGTATCAACTTTGCCTAAAATTCTTCAAGAACTAAAAACAGAAAAAAAGAGACAATTTTTAACATGCAGTATTAGTATACAGCTATAAAATGAATTCTCCAATTCTCACTATTAACTAACTATTAACTGCAACTTTTGCCTCAATAAATTCCTAATTTGCTGCTTATGAATAGTAAATGAGGTAAATACTCATGCAGAATAAGGCATTAATGTGTGCTTTATAAGTGCTAATAAACAGCCAATATGCTAGTCATATGCATGCTAGTTAATAGTGAGAATTGATCCTTAAAATAAAGTGTTAACAAGATGAATTGCAGTCTTTGGAATCTTGACAAATGTGTGTGCAGTTTGTGACATTGTATAAGATTATTAGGATATTTTATTTCTCAGGAGAAGCAGGAGACCCAGATATATTTCATGCAAATATCTTCATAATTGGTGAAGTCCTCCAGTCCTTTAACATATTGTGACCTCTCCATGAATCATAAATCCTTATCTTGGCAGGTATTTAAAAATTCCAACGGATTCATTTGGATTGTATCCATCATTATCTTAGTTCAAAACATACTCTATGGTTTAGAGACTTCACTACCTTTCAGTGCAGCAGTAAAAGCAGTAACCATGGTTACGACTGATGAGACAAGGCTTCTTATCCGGCCAGTGGACTGAAAAATGCTGCTGCTCTGCCGAGAAACAGCCCGGCCCCTAGTCCTGTCAGAATCCACATGACTCTTCATTTGTCATTCATGGTAAGCAAGCCATCAAATATGAGGCTTTTTCCACTAGTACTTTCTTAAGTGGATAACGAGTTTTCTGTATCTTTTAGCTGTTAATTAATTATACAGTGTGTGTTATTAAAACACCCAATGGAAACCAGGCAATTGAGTTAAAAACCAAAGGGAATAAATGGTTTTTGCCATTCTTATTGAATACTGAAATATGTAATCTGTAACCAATTTTAACCACCATGTGTTGTCCACAGCACTTTTCAAAAGAAACTAAGGTTAATGGCATCATGCAGGCATTCCTTATTTTATTTACCAGTTAACTATAACAGTTGTATTTACATCTGTTTCATGAAGCTTTGTACCAAACGTCTTGCCCAGTATTCCCACATTTTACCAATCAGTTTCCATTACCAGTAAACCTGTGCTCAAAAAGTGGCACAGTACTCACTGGTACACCATAATGGCAACGGCAAAGGTGGTCAAAGATAAATACATTCTGCTTTGCCTGTTGATCTTGGAGGAAGGAAAGAAAAGAGGAAAAAGAGATGTTCTGGGATCATTTGATCCAAAGACACAACAGATATCGTCCGTTTACCTCCCACCCCTCTGCTCTAATGCTTGCCTCTTTGTCCTTTCTGATGGGCCTATTGTACACAAAGTCTCTTGCAGTTCAGTGATGACAAATGCTCACACTTTGTACCAATATCATAAAAAATATTGTTAAATCATGCTGACATCCTGCCGACAAAACTGTTAGATTGAATCTATCTATCTATAAATCTATCTGTATGTATATATATATATATATATATATATATATATATAAAAACACTTTTTTTGGTTATTTTTCTATTTATTTATTTATTTATTTTATTTTTTTGTTATTTTTTGTTTTATTTTTTTTTCTTACTGCTCACAAACAAGCTGAGAAAATGAATCACATATTATGAGTCTGGCCTTTTATTTGAACCAAATAACATCTGACACTGAATATTTCCGTTTTAAAACCCAAGTGTTATTTGCCAGGTAAAATTGCAAGGCATGCATTTCAATTATTCAATCTCACCGCAAAATATGAACAGCCAGAGAAATTTCAGTGCAACGTACACTACCGCTTTCCCATTCTACTAATCACATAATATAAACTTTAAGTTACTCAGTTTACCCCAATGACTGCGGTAAGCTCAAAATGTCTGCACTTTATGTCAAGGGGCCACTGAAAGCGATGAATTATCCATATTGCAAATTTAGTTTCACACGAAAGCCATTATAATTTTGTAGAGGTGGAGACTGACATGGATTTTTGAAGATCTGTAGAGAGGCTCTTCAGGAGTGACTCATAGTTTTAAATGGAGGTAATCTATGGATCAGATTTAAAAAAAAAAAAAAAAACTCTGTGCACGTTTCCTCACAGTGGGAGACACAGTAATGTATTCTATTGAGCTGGAGGGAACCTTTTCATGTGACAGGGCAAATCATATGGTTGTTATTCAGTGTTTGGCAATTTAAAGTGGTTCCTAAGGGGTGAGGGTGTGGGGTGATAAGAAATTGTACTAGAAGAGTTTTGAGCAAATATGGAAGCCTTTAATGTAATGTAGTATCGGTTCATTGGGAAAATGATGAAAAAACTATAGTCGCTAAGCAAATCGAATCAACTCTGCAACTTCACTGAGAAAGAAAGCTGTAATAGCCTTCGGACCCTGGTCATAATGGCCACATAAAACCAACAATTTTAAATGAGAACTCTACTAAAAGTTCTTATGCATCAGCAACTTACTATTACTACTTTCCTGCGGTTTTGATCATGTGTCTAGAAATACCAGCTGGGGAGGAACTCAAAGTTACAGTGCACATCACAGTTCAATGAGAAGGCAGAAATACTCAATGCGGTATGACCTTTTGTCAGCACAAACGAATGTTTCTCATATATTCTTTTAAAGGTTAAGGTTTGTGATACTGCCCTTCAATTACAAAGCAGCACTACAAAAGAAGGCAATGAAAACATAACACAAAGTGAGTTGAAAACCTTTGAGCAATTAAACAGCAAGAGTGAAACATTTACAGTAGTTTGAAGTGTGCACAGCCTAATGTGGTTTTGATGCTGGGACTAACATACTCCTGTATTTTGCTGCCATTACGTATTGAATCAGTACCGAAAAATCAGTCACCCAAAGATTTCGAGTCTAATGAAAAAAATCGAGCAAACTCCAACTTGCATTTTGAAATGATGCACACAATTTTATGTCAATCTTGTGTTGCTGTATTTCCAGTTGAAACAGGAAGTTGGGACATATCTAGGAGCTAAAGCCTGTTTACTCCAAGAACGAGGCTATATAAATGCCTCATTCATTCATATTACGATAATTTTATTATGCACACCAGCATTCTGTTTTTTACGGAGCCCCGCACATGACATGCAAGAAAAAATAAATAAATCGTACGCATGATTTACTAATTAGTTTCCTCGATGTACTAAAACGTGCACACGATTACTATTTCATTCCCTCGATTTGCTAAATCGTGCGCACAATTTACTAATTCGTTCTCTCAATTTATAAATAGTGTGCATGATTTAGCAAATCGAGGGAACGAATTAGTACATCGTGCACACAATTTAGCCTACTACTTTTTTCCTGCATGCCATGTGTGGGGCTCCGTAGTTTTTATTGTTCACCTGCTATTCTGAAATTGATTCTAATGATATTGTTCTTCTGTGTCATTATCATTGTAGTTAGAGTATAGGCTTTGTTATTCTTTTAAATCAAAGTATTATACATGGTTGCAATTTCGTATTAATTTGTACAATGTGATTTGTATAAAAATAAATGTAAGAAAAAAGTAAGCATGAAGGTCTCCAAACCCCACCCTTAAATCTAGTCATAAGTGGGTCTAAGCAGATTGTACAAAAAAATGAGATTGCACAAATTGATGTGAATTGCCCTCCAGTTTGGCTAAATGTAAAATAGTTATGAATTGAGAGTGTTTTGGCAAAGATGAGAGATGAGAGTTGAGTGTTTGCTACCATGATTTGCTACTTGATAATGTTAGTGGTCATAAGGAGGGAACACTTCCTAATAGAGAATTTTGCAGCCGCAACTGGGGTTATGTACGCTGCCTTCATGTTCTTTGCAACATCTCTGAATGAAGACAAAGAATATATTCAAAGACGTTGCACTTATATTACTTATGAATGACAGAATGTCCAACGTGCCATATGGTGGAACAGTCTCTTATTCTAAATAAAGCAGCCAGTCCCTAATTGGTAAAGTCATTGCGTCACTGCAGTTGCTGTTAGAAGTTCTGGTTGCCATAGAAACAGTAAGAGTCCCGAGATGCGTGCTTAGGACTGCACATGCACATTGGCTGGTCTAGCCTGAAAAATAAGCTACATTTATGTGATTTCAAATATGACATTTAATTGTAAGCTTGGTGAACAGATTTGAAGAATTTGATGTTTCCCATTCAAAGATAGGCATTTCAAAGATGGCCACTGGGTAGGGTTGCCACCCGTCCCTTAAAATACGGAATCGTCCCGTATTTAAATGTAAAATTATGCGTTTATTGCAGAGAAGCATTTCAGTTGCTCACGGTGGACTTAAAGTCACCATGAAATCAAAATTGAATTCTTTTTTTTAATGGAATACTGTAGTGTTTATTATAAATAATTTATCTGTGCACTTCATTATTTTTTTTTAATTCATGTGCATTTCATGTCATTTACACTTATATATTGTTGCTCTTTTGTTAGTTTTGACTGCTTTTATTGTCCTCATTTGTAAGTCGCTTTGGATAAAAGCGTCTGCTAAATGACTAAATAAATAAATAAATAAATATGCCCTCGTAATCTTTAAAGGGGTGGTTCACTGGGTTTTTTCTAGACTTGATTGTGTTTTAATGTTAGGCCCTATTTATTAATTTATCATTTATTTTAATCATAAATATATACATAATAAATCATATTTGTCATATACAATTTGGCATTTAAAAAAAGTTTAAAAAGTGTTCAATTATTTAGATAAAAATGGAACGAATGATTACATAATAATGATTATTATGTAATTATTAAGCAAATAATTTAAGCAAATGAAAAAAAAAATAGAAATTCATCCCATCCAGGTGCATAACTGTCAAAAAAGACTAATAATAAATAATAATTATAAATAAAATAATCAAATTAAAAACAATATAAATGTGTTCTCTTGCAAGTTTACCTACTTGAGCATGTTTTCTCATGGTTTATTGTTGAGCTGTGAGTTCCTCACTGATTGTTTGTGTCCTTGTTTATTATTTTATTTTATGTAATGTAATATTTAATTCATATAATGTATATGAATGGGTGTCCCTTATTTTGCCTCGCTGAAGGTGGCAACCCTACCACTGGGTGAAATGGCTTGCCTTAAAGGGACTTTAATGAAGATAAGGAGCAAAGACTGTGCAGCAAGTTGTGTTGACAAAGTTTGGTCATTCAGAGAGAAGGGACAACTTATGAATGTCACAGAATTCATTAATAAAGAACAACACTCGTCATTTGTCCATGTCTGAGCACATGCACACTTTGTTCAGAGCAGTAACAATGTGATTAAGGTGTTTACATGCCAGTTGTTATTAAAAGCGTCACACACTGCTTGGTTACTACGATTATGAGCTTACACATTTAATAACATTTTTCAAATCAGCAACAAAATCTTACATGAACTGTCCCATAAATGTTGTTGTTTACACAATATTTCAGGTTGGTCCAGTGTGCATGTGCAGTCCTAAGCATGCATCTGACACTGACTGTTTCTATGGCAACCAGAGCTTCTAACAGCATCATATGAATTTTGGAGTGCATTAATGCCCGACAACTTTTTGAGCAGTGTTGGTTCTGGAATATTTTTATGAATCAAAATCATATGGATTATGAAAACATCTTTGTTAAAGGGTTATACACCATGAACCAAGCCAACCAACTACCAGGTGATGAATCACATTACAAACTTTTATTTGCAAAAATAAAAATAAAACGTTAAACACAACTATTTTAACAACTGGTTCAACCTCAGATCTCACAGTAGGTCTCTATATAAAGTTTTATAAATTAATTTCCATGTGGAGAAAATTAATGGAGTTTTTTTATTCTGCAATCTGATTGCTGCGCTCTATTGATGATTGGCTGTTTAGTTTAGAAGGCGGGACTTATGTCACCTTAATTCAAATGACACTTTCTCCCATTCATAGTAATATTGGTAATCTAAGCAAACATAATCATAGTAAAATTGGTGTATCTAAAGTCTTTGATTCAGCTCAAACAAACAAACAATAAATATATAGTAACACAATATACAAAGTAACTGGTTGTGAAAACGCTAGGGAAGTTGAAACAATTGAAACCTGAATCATTTGCAACTCTCAACATTTTGAATGGTGTGAATGAATCTGAACTACAAAGAGTATTTTTGACCGGTTTGTTTAAATGTGCTGGCTGCAGGACAGGTAACATCTCCCACATCATTGAAACTATCTTTTAAGCCAGTAAAAGCCAGATTGACTCTACACTTCGCTCAGAAGCATATATATTTGTAAGCATCTTCAAGCCTCATAGGTATAATTATCTGCTAGAGTTCTGAACATGTTTCCATTTAGTGAAAGGACTTAAAGGAAATCACAACTGCCACTAGAGATGGGTAAAATGGATACTCTCTCTGCTCAAATACAGCTTGTTCACAAAGCAGGATGCTCAATAAAAGCAGACGCACCCCAGTGGAATATCGAACACCTGGAACGAGGCTGAATCTGCAGTGTGGATGTGGAAGAAAATGTGCCGATGTGAAGCAGTACTGCCCCCTGCTGTATCTGTGATCAAAACCCAGCAACAACATCCAATTAAACTGAACATGAGGTTGGAATAAACAAAAGGTCTTTGAGACGAACGTAATGAGCACAAGGATGAGAAGCGGAGTTTACCAAGAAGATCAGAAGAAAAAAAAAAGTGCATAAAGGATCATTATAAAATTCACAAATGGCATTTTGTTCATTACAAAACCATAGCTGTGGAAATAATCGATTTCAAAGTTTAAGATATCTTCTTATTTTTTAGTTTAGAAGGCCAACAAATTTTAGGATGATTCTTACAAAACCTGACAAAAACATGTCCGCTCATTTCACTTCACTTCACAAAAAATAAAAAATGATTAAAATGATGCCTATTAAGATTTATTAAGAATGAAATATTTTTCATTACCAGAATGCATGTATGCTTTTAGTGTGTTGTAGATAACTAGTTCCAAAAACACCACTTAAAATGTGTGTCTGCAAGATCATTTTAAATTCCAAAAATAGGGGTGAGTCATATGATCATTGTGTGAAAATATTATCATGATATTGCAAGTACTGTAAATAACTGTTATTGCTAAAATGCAGTTACAATAATGAAAATCTAATGAGAAACCAAAAATAGTAAGAATTACAAATAAACTCAAAAGTAAAATTCCCAGGCACTTTACAGCAAAAGTAAGGGTAAAATGTGATATTTTGTCATGAAAATAATGTCACAATGCAGCTTCAAATATATCTCTTTGATTTTGCAAGTTAAGAATTGTATTTCTTTTGATTTTTCATGAGAGAGACACTAACAGATGTGGTAGCTTGTGGTATGAAATCAAGGTTTACAGTGTTTTTTTTTTTTTCTAACGGAAATAAAAATGCCCTTGAAGTGGCCACTTGAAGGCTACACCAATTCCTTTAAGGATGTTGTGTGAAAGCTATCTAGCCTGGGTTCCTCTTGATTGAGTCTCAGAATGCATTGCTACCTGCTGAGTGTGAGGAGCTAAATTAAATTTACACTCAACCAGTATGTGTTCAGAAAAACAGTTTTGGCGCAGGTGGCTAGGAGACAATACCTCCACTGTGACACCTGGGAGTGTACAGGTAATGAAATGGCCTGCTTATTTAACATGCAGATTTATGTATGCTGTAATTAATTTGCCATTACTCCTTGATTGATGTCCCTGTGTGTTTTAAAGCAGACATCAGGCTATAATTACTCCCCATGTTGTGCTCCCTCCATTGTTTCGTTATAATAAACAGATGCTAATTTTACCAACAAGTAATTTTCCCGCTAAATAATTGGGTAAAACCGTGACCGTCTGCCATTTGCTGGTGGAGCATTCAAACGCGCACTTTATTTGTCGGCTTCATTTAATTTCACTTAAAAACTTCCATTCAGAGGTAAGACATCTAGTCCTAACAGAAGGTAATATTATGCATCACAATGACTGTGGAAGTGCTTTCAGTCTCTTTTTTTAGAAGACAAAACCACTATACTTTTCTCATCCGTTTCTTTGGCCGCTGAGTGAAGGGGGAAGTGCCCATGAGAGAATCTGGTGAATGAGACATGTAACTTCCTTCTGAACCTCCAGGAGATGGAGGGATGCCAGCCTCACTCATGGTGGACATGGGGCCCTCTTCAAAGACGTCGCTGCCCAGAACCCCATGACCTGATACCTGGCCCTCCTCACTGTCCTGAGGTTCCATCTTCACCTGGGCTAAATGCCACAAAGGAGAGCTGTTCCCTGCTGCTCCTATTGAAGAAAAAATAAAAATAATAATAATATTGATTATTACAAATAGACTGGCTGTATTACGCTTTTGTTTGAGCAAAATATCACAGTGGAGCCTGTTAAACCTACATGTTTGCTGTTGTTTTCAGATCATCAACCCTTTTATATCAGAGCAGAGGGCACACATGCATGGCTGCCAGATTGGGAAGATGAACTCAAACGCAGGGCAGCAAATGCATACATTTAAGAGAAAAGCTGACTGAGGGATTTAAACTTTTGACATCCGGCAACCTCAAGCATGAAAGATGGTTGAGGGCTTGTTACCAATCCAAGATAATGCAAATGTGAAATAAATACAAAACGCTTTTGGGATAAATAACCAGGGAGCAAATATCACAGACGATTATGCTTAAAGGGGTCATGTGATGCGATTTCAAGTTTTCCTTTCTCTTTGGAGTGTTACAAGCTCTTGGTGCATAAAGAAGATCTGTAAAGTTGCAAAGATTAAAGTCTCAAATCCAAAGAGATATTCTTTATAAAAGATGGCCTTCTGGAAGTAGATGCAATTAGACATCATTGGTTAAAACGACAGTTTTTTGAACCTAGAAGAGTACAAGGCTGGCTGTGCACAAAGGCTATTTCTAAAAAGAAAAAAAGGTAAATTCCGACTTTGCTATGACAACCACAAAATAATGATCTTTAAAATAGCATCATATGACCCCTTTAATTAAACGAGAGAAGCAGAAATCGTGATCACGATTAAATTACAATTTATTATGCAGCCCTAGAATGGACTACTTGCATTTTTATTTTATGATAACGACATCAAAAAGACAGCAAAAACTAATACTAGCCTAACTAACGCAAAAAAAATTATCCAAAGCAAGTATTAAAGAAAATTAAACATTTTCTGTATATGACAAATAAAAAAACAACAGAACAGATACAAAGAAAAAGCCCTTAAAGTTCAAATGTAAAGTAATCAAATGTCAATTAAAAAAAACTATGAGTTAAACGCTGATTCTTATTCAATCTATTACATTTATTCAGTCATGAGAGCAGAGTAATTTTCTGTATTTTTTTTTTCTTTTGCTGTCACTTTAAAACCTAATGCACAGATCCAGTATATTATAATATTCACCAAAATTGTTTGCATTCACTTAAGACATAACCAACTGTGTTTACATTCTTGACGTATAACGATTTGAGATTTCTTTCACGGCTTGTTGCATTTATGCATTAGTGTATACAGTCTTCCAATTTAATGGAATTACTTTACCAAACCAAAGCTTTAACCAAACGGATCTGAAGAAGCAGTGGCTGCTCACACAGAAATGTATAACAGACATTTTGACAGAGATAAAGATAAAACATAGAGATCAATCTTAAATGCAAACCAGAGATGGTTAAATGAGTCTAATCAAGGACAAACACAATAAATTGAAGCTCAATGTACTATAAATAGGAATATCGTTAATGAGTGAAACACATTGGTAATAATGAGAAGGCATGCAGTGGACTGCTGCATGTTAGTTGCAAAAACATAATACA